ACTCGATGGCACCTGACAACAACAACAACAACAGTCCTCAAGCTGATATCTTTGACCTTGAACACTTCAAAGAGGTCTTGTGTAGCAGATTTTCCTAGTGCAATGGACGTCTTATTTCTTGACTGCTGCTTGCATGACTGTTGATTATGGATCCAAGGAAAATGAAGTCTTTGGCAACTTCAATCTTTTCTCTATTTATATGGATATTGTTTACTGGTCTAGTGGTGAGGATTTCTGTTTTCTTTACATTGAGGTGCAACCCATACTGAAGACTGGTCTTTGATTTTCATAAGTAAGTATTTTAAGTCCTCTGTGCTTTCAGCAAGCAAGAATGTATCATCTGCATATCACAACAATTCATTGATAGTAAAGTTCAGAAATTTCTCTGCTTTCCCAAAGAGAAGATTGTCACTATTAGATCAGTTTTAGCCTTCTTTCCTTCCAAAAGAGGATTCTTTTTATTGAATAGAGACTAAGTCTATTTACATAATTACAAGACTAAGAAAGTGTGGAAAGAGAAGGGGAGAAAAACTTTAAAACTGTGATGGAAGTTATTTTTTAAGTAGCTGAAGAATATTGTTGTTGTTAAGTGCTGTTGAGTTAGTTCCGACCCATAGCGGCCCTGTATGGGGTAACCAAGGAACAGCTGGTGAGCTTGAACCATCAACCTCATGGTTCAAACCGACTTTGCAGTCTAGTGCGTTATATAATAGCTATGAATCAGAAAAGAAAGTATTTCGACTGTCATCTTATAGAAGTGCTAGAGAATTTCTTGAGCTAATTTGAAATTCCTTTTGTTTCCAGATAGCTTCTTTTTGTTTTGTTTTGACCATGGTGACACTCTGAGACTGAACCACTGAGATTATAATCATACATGCATATCAAAGGCTGAGGTTCTCAAAAATATTTGACTATCTCTTTTTTCTAAATTATATCAGTCTCCAATTTCACCATTCTTCATTCCCCTCCCCCAACTCCCACCATGAATTATGTTATACGAATTCATAGATATTACTTTTCATGTCCTAGTGTGGCACTGTGGGTTAATGCGCTGGACTGTAATGTCAGATTGAACTGCAAGGTCGGTGGTTCAAGTTCCCCAGCCACTCCTCAGAAACCTTATACAGGGTTGCTGTAAGTCGGAACTGACTAGACAGCACTTAACAACGTCTCATTTTCCTAAAGTTCTGGTATTCCTGGGTGCTTGTAATTGTTGTTAGGTGTCGTTGAGTGGGTTCCAACTCACAGCAACCCTGTACACGTCAGAATGAAACATGTCTGGTCCTGCGTCATCCTCCCAATTGTTGCTACACTTGAGCCCATTGCTGCTGCCACTGTGCCAATCCATCTCTTTGGGGGTCATCCTATTTTTCTCTGACCCTCCGTTTTACTAAGCATTATGTCCTTCTCTAGGGACTGATCCCTTCTGGTAACATATTAAAGACTGTGATCATTTTGCAGAATGGGATTGATGATGACTTTAAGGACTCTGTCATTACTGGATTTCTCCTGTGGCACTGTAGGATCAGCATTGAGCAGTTCAGACCCACCAGTTGCTCCTTGGAAACCCTAATCAGGGTCACTATGAATTGGAACTGACTCGACAGCATTTAACAACCATAACAACACTGTTATTACGACCTTCTGGTCAAGTGTATTCACCAACTGCAGAGAGGTTTGAGGGCCAACTGAGATATGACAGGCCATGTTTCAAGATCCCCCATCCACTTCTGATCCACTGGTCAGGAATTCGCCATTCATGCTGTAAACACTGACCTAGCCCATCTATTATTTAAATGGTATGCTGTACTCTTTCTTCTGTTATTTATCCTCATTGTAACTAACTCTTTCTCCAAAACAGTACACAATCTCACATATAACAGTTTATTCTTGATTTTCAGGGAGGCTATACTATTACATTCAATCTGAAAGAAAGAGTTTTAATGGAAAGTTTTGCAAAAGAAATGGCCTATGTAAATGACCAATGACAAGTTTTAGGTTTTTTAAACTCAATTCAGTTTAATGTCAAATCAGTAAGGATTCAAACGAAATCAACAAAATATCCAAATTCTGTGTAACCTCGAAGTTTCTACATAAGAGTGTATGAGTTTTACTCCCTTGGCTGTTACTTATACTAAATTCTTTCAGATAGTAGTGTGGATATATTTTTACCTGTCTTTAAGTTAAAATAGATTCTCAATCACCTGGTAGTTTGAAAAAAAGATGATGCTTGACTCCACCTCAAAACCTCTAAGATAGTACCTAGACATTTCTATGAGTTGGAACAGACTCACAACAACAAAAGTTCCCCCAGGCTATAGGGGGGACAACAATGGTAGTGAGGTAGGCACACAAAGGAATGAAAAACCATACAAGATCAAAAAGGCAGCATTTACTTAAGAACAAAATTCAGAGGTTTGGGAATGTAGGTGAAATGGAAACAAGACTCACCCTCACCGGGAGGAAGTAGGCTACCTGATGGTAATTGGAGGGGATTGAAACCATTGTAATGAAACCAAGTATATGATTTCTTAAATATAAAACGGATGATCTGCTTTATAAAACCTTCACTCAATTCACAATAATTTTTTTTTTTTTTTTTTAAGTTCCCCAGGTAATTTTAACATGAAGTCTGAGTTAATTTTGTTGGAGCATTTTTTTGCTCTTTCTGAAAAATTTGCTTAATGGAAACTTTTTGTTTGTCATATGCTACACAGAGTTTCACTCTATTTAAAGATTACATGTCAAAGTCTATATTTTTATTAAGTGATCTCAGTAACTTTTTAAAACGTGTTTGTTTGTTTGTTTGTTTGTTTTTAAATAGTTTGATGCCAAACTAGCAAGAGTTCAGACGAAATCAACAAAATCATATCTAGATTCTACTGTTTTGCCCCAAAGTATCTACAGAAGGGTATGTGAGTTTTTCCTCCCATGATTTGGTTAAGAAAATAAAATTTCTTAGTGTGTTTCTATAAAAATTATCTAGTATTTAATTACAATATAGTTAACAGTTGTTTCTTAAAATACATATGATCAGAAACATAGTAGGTTTTGAATAATCTTAAAAAGTACTTCTCAAAAAAAAGTAATTCTCAATTTTAACTAAAACATTTGAATAATAAATTAAAGCATTTTTTAAAATCCTCTATTTGTTTTGAACTAAAGTTAACTTAACTATTTTGAAGTTACTTAGACACTTAGATTTCTTTTGGTTCAACTCCTTTATATGATTTATAATTTAGACTTATTGAGCGGTGGGTGCTAACGCGCATTTGTTTCCTTATAGCAGCTGTAAGGTATTAAGCCCCTCAAACCAGAAATTATAGACTTTTCAAAATAAGGTCTTTTAAAAATAGCTACTTAAATCAGAACTGTGTTTGTTGTTTCATTGCTCCTTGTACTTAATATTGCTTTTTCTAAGTTTCAATAACAAAATTTTTCTGCTCCATTTAGAAGCTTCAACATCTTCAAGAAGAAAAAAACAAGGAAATTGCAGCTCTTCGAAATACCATTCACGATTTAGAGCAACGTCTTTCTCTTGCCAAAGATTCTCCCTTTAAGCCTATTACAAAAGATAGTTACGTTAAGCGTAGACGGTTTTGAGTACAGCAGTAAATTCATTATTTACTATTTCTTTAAAAGCTGCTGAAAATTTCACTTTTGTTTTCAATAAAGCTCATTACTTAATTAATCACAACAATGAAAAAAAGAAGGCAACTTTAAACTTGTTTTTTTAATTGCATTTATTTAAACAAATTAACATCACCTTAGCCAATTGTGTATTTTGCTTAATAGAATTAACCATAAAAGAGTTCAGGTTCACAGGACTTAGTTTACCTATTGAACCATCATTGACTATGGAAAACTATTTAAACAGTTACACAATGCTCTTTGATCTTCTCCTTCAAGGTTTTCAAACAGGTACTCTCAGATTTTAAAGGTATGATAAAGTGCTAGAAAAGAAGATCCAAAGGCTTCATTCATATTGTTATTAAAAATCAAGTAAGAAGTCTTAGACATACAAAGAAGGATACACTTCAATTTAAACTGTAATTGTAGAAGTGTTTTTAGCAAAATATCCATGTGTGAAGTATTTCTGAATCTTAAAAAATGCACTTCTTTAAGGTTTTAATCAGTTTAAAATGTACAATTAAAAGAGGTAAGGAAAAAATGGAAAATATGTCTTTGTTATTCTTCCTCCATTCTAAGTTGCTAACTATCCAACAGAAACCCCTAGATCATAGTTTACGTTTCTGTTCTCATTAAAGCAAATTGAACGCTGGAAAAAGAAGAAGAAAGACATATTGGCCAAAAGCTGCCATCACCTTTCAGTTGCCTTGTAGTAACCAAATATGGTCTAGGTCCAAATTCCTGTGACATCGATTTTCAAATTTGGAAGCCAATGAGTCTCCATGTTTGTATAAATCCAATTTCTATTTTTAATCACAATTTGCTAGGTAGCTTATGAAAGTGCTGGAGAGAAATTGTGTCCAGACTGACTTGGGGAGTACATCCAACTTTAAATATTTACTTAGTAGGTCATTTTCACATTTCTGCTGTATTTTTTCAGCTTCAGTTGGTTCTGGCTTCTATGGTCTTAAGCTGCTGACTTCCCTGTCAGGCAGGTAGAGGCAAACGTCACTGTCAAGATTCAATGACATTCTCCTCCGCCAGAAGTCCCTGTCAGCTACATAAAGATGGGAGGTTTTCTTTACACTGTCAGGTGACGGCAGACCCTGTGTTTGCAAATATCAGGTGTCGACAATGTCAGCATCAGCTGTTAGGAGCCAACTCTGAATCTTTGTATAACTTTCAGAGTAATTTATTTATACAACCCTTTCGTCAGGCCTGCCTTTGTGAAAGGGTGTGTTGTAAACCTTCATTTCCTGGCATATCTCTATTCTCAGGGTGACCCTCTGTTTGGTGGTCCTTGTGCTTATAGCGGTGATAAAGACCTGCAGAAGGATGCTGAGAAGTGTTTGTATGAGAACTATTCCCAAGATGCTGATGCCCATGCTTGTGATGGTGATGATGATCGTACTGTGGTTTAGGGTCCTCCGATTCTTCCACATTTGCCAAAGATTTGTTTTTACAGATTTCATCTTCAGGAATCTGGAACAAATGAATAAATCACTTATTAAATTATAGGTTTAACAGTAATGCATGGAAAAATGATTTGAATAACTAACATATATGAAATTCCAACTAGTTAATATTGAGCTTGCTCTTCTTTCCTTATCACTAAATTAATGAGAAAAGAACGTTGTCAGTCTTAACATAGAGACTTCCTATTTAAGTTTGGCTCCTATTTATAGTTAATTATAAAATGTCTCTTGTTAAAAGTTTACATTTAATCAAAAAATCCTAAAGTATCTCTCAAATGAAGTAATTTTAGTATTTTGCAAATAGATAATATACAATTAAATTTGTTCAGGTTCAGAATTCAAATTTTGCTTTTCTTATCAAGAACAATATCTCAGTTTTCAGAAATTTTGAAGAAGAATTTGGGAGTTGCCTGAGGCTTAAAAAGAAGTCAAAACTCTTTCATAGTTTATATCTGCAGAAGCAAAACTACATAAACTTGTTTAAAAGAACTTACATTTCAGTAAAGGCAACCAAATCTCATATCCTAAAATCAATTAACCTACATGGAACCTTTCACACCTGTGTCAACAATGCATCTAATCTAGTGCTGTATTCGGAAGCAAACTAATTTCTCACTGATAAAATTGCTAAAAACTCTCTCTGCTAAAAACTGGTCATTTTTCATATTCCAGGAAATATTTTGATAATTCACCAAAGCAAACGCATCCCTGCTGTAGTGCTGTCAGCTGGGAAGAGCCTTTTACTGCCTGTCTCCCATTGACCACGGCATTCCATTCGGCATGACTCTACGTCTTTAATTTGCTGAAAGTCTTGCTCTGTTGTTTTGTTTCTATGTTTCTAGAGCATAGACTTAAAGTCTATCAGTATCACAAGGTAAAATTGAACCTTGACTAAGCTGACTTGTAGATAAAATTACAAAACCAATTTCAGAGACTAAAAGCTCATGAAATGGTATGGTTTGGTGTTATAGAAGTTATCAGTGTTTTGTAAGTTTCATTATTTATTAGCCTACAGATACTAAACAGTAAATTTCTTAGTTATTTCTGAACTACTTCTAAGTAAGAACTTAATGATATTTGATTATAGGCTTATAAACAATTTGATAATTGATTACAATTTCATATGAGATGTTCTAAATACTCAATGATTAAACAGCACAAATAGCTGTAGCAGTCTAGTTTTGAAAAACAAATTACTAGATATCATTGATTCTAATAAGCACATTCTTTTCACACTTTAAAACTATCTAAAATAGAATGCCTTCTATTATTGATGGTAGTAGGGCAGTGCGTCCTATTTTAATTGGCAGCAATTTCCTTTCTTAGTAACATATAAAACAGCATTTCATATAATCAGTGGCATCCTGGATCTGCTTCATTATTATTTGAGGTGGATTTCTTAGAACTGAAAGAAGTACAACTCACAAATAAAATTCATATCCTTTACAACCTGAGTTAAAGTTTAGCCAACTTGCTCTACCAACGAAGCGTTACTTGGTAGTATTTTTCTTATCAATATGAAGAAAAAAAAGTCTAGTTAATACAAATTAAAGTCAATTATTTGAGTTCCTTTTTATAAGTGATATTTAAATAGAGCATTTTTCATAATAAGAAATAAATATTCTCATAGTTGTTGGGAAATAAATCTTAACAATGAATAGATAATTTATTCTATTTTGAAATAAATTCTACCTAGAGTGTGGGCAGGCTGTGAAGTAAAGACTTCACAACAATGCAACCTATATTTATTTTTTTTAATCTTGTAGTCAAAGGCAGCAATATGGACCTTGAAAAGATGTTTTGAATTCCATGTTACAGAACAGGAAATGTATATAATTATACAAATTACTGTTGTTTCTTTTTAGTACACCAACAGAAATGCTGATTAGCTAATTGGCCACGAAACTTTAACAAGATAGCTCTTAAACTACTTCTTTTCTCCCATAAGAATAATTGAGAAAAATACCAGGAAAGAGCAGTTTCCACATTTCTTTTCACAATAAGCAATCTTAATGGCGGCTTCCACATATGGAAAAGTTAGGAAGGAGTAAGGCAAACCAAGATGATATACAAGACGACCACATCTAAAAAAAATGACAAATGCAACATTATCACAATGTTTTCTGTGTCATGAGCCGACTCAAGAATTGTCTGCGATCACTGTGATCAGTCAAATGATAGATTGACTTATAAATACCCATGAGTACTGTGTTCCCTTAATTATATGAGAAAAACCATCAACATTTACCTAAGAGCAGAGCAACAAAGTAAAGAGGGGCAGGGAAACTAGAGCAATAGAAACAGAACAAACAGAAATAAGACTATTGTGAAAATTGTAACTAAAATTTTATGTAAAAATTATGAAATAGAACCTAATTTTCTGTGTAAACTTTCAAATAAAACACAATAAAATATTTTTTTAAAGAACTGTCTGGGACAGGTAGGCTTAATGGTTCCCTTTTATATCTTCAGTTAATTTCCTTAGATGGAGTCTACAAAAAAGCTTCCTAACACTCATGCCAAGTAATGCCAGAGCAAGACTACAGTTAGTCTAATAATAGCGTTCTGAAATGTGATAGACATGTTGTTGTTGTTGTTGTTAAGTGCCATCGAGTCAATTCTGACTCAAAGATCCTGTAGAGGATTTCTGAGGAGCAGCTGGGGGGTTTGAACTGCCGACCTTGTGGTTCGCAGTCCAGTGCTCACCCTACAGCATCACACCAGGAGTCTTATAGCTATGCAACCCTATATAGGATTTTAAATGTGTGTGTGGTATAATCATTCTGTAATTGACTTATAAATTCTACCAATGCCCAAATCACTGCCTTATGATAGATTATTGTTATTAAGTGCCATCTACTCGGTTCTGACTCCTAGAGACCATGCGTAGGGTTTCCAAGGAACAGCTGGTGACTTTGAACTACCTAGTGGTTCACAGTCCCATGCTGATCCTATAGCACCATTTTGTTATCGTTAAGTGTCATCAAGTCGATTCTGACTCATAATGGCCCAGTATAGGGTTCCCAATGGGTGGCTGGTAAGTTTGAACCACTGACCTTGTGGCTCAAACTGACCTTGCAGCTTCCGCTTATACTATAGTGCCACAGAAGGGTTCCATAGCACCATCAGACCAGGGAAATACATCACCTTTTCAGAACTGCTTCAGGCCGTGTAGTCAAACCCACACAAGAAGAAATTGCAACAAAACGATTCTCAAGTCTTACTTGGCTAGTTGCTCTTTATTTTAAAATTTGCCTGATGCAACAAAAATTTCAGCACAACTAAGAAAGTAGAATTATAACACTTGGTAGTCTCAGAAATGGTAGGGTTGAAATGTCCTTCTTGCCCACATTTTACCCAGTATGTGCTGTTGCTACTGAAGTTTAGAGGCCTATGAGAATATAATATTAAAAAATATTTAGTGTAAGACCAGGTAAGGCTTAGGTTTAGGGAGAGTCTGGCCCATCCTCTCTGAAGAATTAAAATTAAAAATAAAGCCAGAATACCAACTAGAAATGTTGGTAACAGCAGGTAATGTATTCATTGAGATTCTCTAAAAATATGAATGCTTCATCTGTTCATGCAATCAAAAGCAAATTAGTTCAGATTATACCTAAATGATTAAAACATTTACAGTTAAAGAAATCAAATATGTAACCTTAAAATTATAATTAATGACAAGCCAAAATACTTCAATTAAAATTATATGTGAAATATAAATTTATCCTTTTTATTTAATCCAAATGTCAATTTACAGAGAAAAATAAACAGAGTCCATTTTTCTTATTTCCCTACTGGAATAAACTCTTTTGTGTGCTTTACTTTCCAAATGGTCATTTCAAAAATTCTAAAACCAAATATTTTAATGGTCTCATTTTGAAACTGAGTATTTGGTAATTTAAGAAGCAGATGTCATTTCATGTCACTTACTATTTAAATATAAAGCAGGTATCTTTTAAATGGAGTCCTGGTGTGGCACTGAAGGATAAGCATTGGATGTAAACTACAAGGAGCTGTTCCTTGGTAACCCTATACCAAGTCACTATGAGTTGGAACCAACTCAACGGCACTTAACCACAACCACAATTGTTGTTAAGTGCCATGGAGTCGGTTCCGACTCATAGTGAGTCTGTACAGGGTTTCCAAGGCTGTAAATCTTTACGGGAGCAGAAAGCCTCATCTTTCTCCTGCGAAACAGCTGGTAGTTTCGAACTGCTGACCCTGCGGTTCACAGCCCAATTCGTAACCACTATGCTACCAGAGCTCCTTAAACCACAATAGCATCTTTTAAATGGTTGTAAGATTAGAGAGAGAAGAGAGTACATACCTGTCATATACAAGAAAGTCATCTTTGTTTCCATTTAAGAGAGTCCAGACATCTGTTTGATTTTCTTCTTGTTGATAAACAGGAATATGCTCTGAAACCTTATCTTTAAGATGCATGTACTTTAATTGAGAAGCAGGTCCTTGATGATTAACAATGACATAGGAGATATTAAAATAGCCTTCTTTGTCCAGTTTTATTCGCAGGTCTTCCAATCTAAAATATTTGAGGAAGATACATAAAATGAATAACCTCACTTACTCATTTATTTTCTCTTCTTCCCACTCCCTGTTTTTTCTTGTAAATGAAACTCACCTCCTTACTATTTTTCACTTATTCATACTTCTTTATATTACTCTAAGATTCTAAAACTTATTTATTGAAAATCTATACTCATTTAAAACTTTATGTTAAATCTTTGTACAAACATTAGCTCATTTAGTCCACAAATCAATTACATATACAGAGAATTCTACACAATAAATATTTGATAAGTAACCCAACAAGTTTTTTTGTTATATTCTATATTCTTAATATATATTTACCCAAGACTTTTGATGGCATATCTAATGTTTATTGTACTTTGGGAAAGCACTCTTTTTATGTTTCTTATGTTGATGTAATCAATCCATTTTTGGAAGTATACTTCATCAGTGTACAGTAATGTATATTTGGTAGAAATTTATAAATTGTGGGTACACAAAAAAAGAAAAAGATGTCATAACCCAGGGAAATCACTATAAACATTTTGGTGTATATCCTTTACCCTTACTTATTCTAGCATGTTCTTTACAAACATGTAATTTTTGTTTATTTGCTTTCTTAAAAATACATTTAATGAATGCACCTCTTCAGTCTTATTACACATTTTCCCCTATAAGAAAGTGTGGACCACAGAAAGACTCTTATTACCTAGATGCCTGCAGAATGCACAGGTGTCAGCTGGCTTGAAGGAGAGCAACCACGGTCACTGAACCATTCGAGTTCAGCATTGGATCTTCTCCCCGTATGCTCCAAGCTGGGGGTCGCTTACAAAAGGAACTTTGTTCCTGGCTCTCTGTTCCACCCCAAGGGAGGAGACAGAGAGCCAGGGTAAGTCCCAGGCGTCTCCACATTGTTGGGATTATCCTGTCAAAAAAAAAAAAAACAAAAAAAAAACCACCTTTCTATTATCTTCACAGATATGCCAACATTATGTATTTCTATACATCCAGCAGATACAAGTATACTTCCTATAAATACATTGTCCGTGGATTCTCCATGTTGGGCCTCCCTGTACTAAATCTTCCTCTAAAGGGGAAGGTATCAGCCAGAGGCTGGGGAGTTGACAAAGAACCTCTTAACTATCCGGTTTAGCAAAGTACTTTAGAAAAGCATATAATGGATATTTTTCTGTTGAGACAGTCAAATATTTCTCTAACAGAAGACACATGTTTGGAAAAATACTGATATGCAGATTCTGTAACCAAATAACATTCTGTAAACACAACCTGAATTTGTTGAGAGACACCACACTGACTCCTCCATCCTGTCCTCTTCTGTCAGTCGAAGGAAAGAAAAGGGACTCTGTACAGTAATGACAAGGATCAGACAGAGACCCCAGAGGGCAGGGAGATGACAGTGAGGGCAGTGTACCAACATAAATCTTCAGTCAGTCTCCTACATTTGTAATGCTCTGTGTGTGGCTCCCTTACACTCCTCTTATTCCTCAAAGGCTAGTTTTATGTTTTTGTTGTTGCTGTTATTAAGTGCCATCTAGTTTCCAATTCCAAATCATAGCGACCCTGTATAGGGTTTCTGAGGAGCAGCTGGTGAGTCTGTACTGCTGATTTTGTGATTCAAACCACCCTTGCGGTTGGGTGCTTATTCTACAGCACCACAGAATAACATAATATTTATGTTGATATTAGATTATTTAAATCTCTTCAGATATAAAGCTCCTTGCCATAGTACCACTCCCAAGATAAATATGGATCAAGTGGGAAAAATCTGACTGAGAAGTATCACAAATCACTGTCCCATATACCATTTAAAACTCAATGAAATCTACACTTGATAGTTCTGTTTATTTACTACAACTGCTTTCCGGAAATTCCTGTGATGAGCCGCACTTTTTCAAGCAAAATATGTCCTCTGAGTGGGGAAGGCAAAAGGTTAGAAGTTGTTATCACTAAGTCAACTCTGATTCAACATGACCATTAGTATGACAGAAGGAAAGGTTGCTTCATTCTGCACCATCTTCACTATTGTTGATACACTTAAGTCTGCTGTAGCAGTCACGGCAGTCACTAAGCTCCCAGAACTACGTCAAGTAATAGTCTGTTGTGATCCATCAGGTTTTTCCTTTACTAATTATCAAAAGCAGATTAACAGGCTTTTCTTCCTAATCTTAGCCTGGAAGCTCCACTGAATCTTGTCCACCAGGGTGACCCTGTCGGTATTTGAAATATTGGTGGCTTAACTTCTAGCATCCATCACTCACTCACCACTCACCGGTCAGTGTGTCATACTGTGATGGCTTGTGAGTTGCTGTGATTTTGGAAGCTATGTCATGGGTATTTTAAATACCAGCAGGGTCACCCACAGTGGACATGTTTCAACTAAGCTTCCAGACAAAGATAAACTAGGAAGAAGGAGAGACAGACTACTTCCAAACACTTAGTCACCGAAAACCTTATGAATAGCAGTTGAATACTGTCAGCACCAGAAATTTGAATACTGGACCATGATGCAGAGCACCAGAGTACTGTCAGGTATAGTGTCAAAGATGAGCTGGAAGGGATGCAAAATACAACTGGGGAAGAACTGCCTCCTCAAAGTAGAGTCTGATGATGCAAATGGAGTAAAGCCTTCAAGACCTTTCTTTGCTTATGGGGCAAAATGCAAAATGAAAAGAAACAGCTGTAAACATCCATTAATAATCAGAACATGGAATGTATGAATTATGAAGATAGGAAAATTGGAAATTGTGAACAATGAAATTGTACACATAAACATCAATATCCTAGGCATTTGTGAGCTGAAATGGACTGGTATTGGCCATTTTGAATCTGACAATCACATGGTTTATTATGCTGGGAGTGACAGATTAAAGAGGAATGGTGTTGTATTCATCATCATAAAGAACATATCAAGAACTGTCTTGAAGTTTAAGGCTGACTGTGATAGGATAATATATATGTATAAGCCTACAAGGAAGACCAGTTAATATCACTGTTACTGAAATTTACACCCCAACCACTAAAGCCAGTGAAGATGAAACTGAAGAATTCTACCAACTTCTTCAGTCTGAAATTGATCAAACACGGAATCAAGATATATTGATAAATACTGGTGATTGGAATGCAAAGGTTGCACCTCAATGTAAAGAAAACAAAAATCCTCACAACTGGACCAATAGACAGCATCTATATAAATGGAGACAAGATTGAAATTGTCAAAGACTTCATTTTGCTCAGATCAACCCCAACAGTCATGGAAGCAATGTTAAGAAATCAAACGACGTATTGCATTAGGCAAATCTGCTGCACAAGACCTCTTTAAAGTGTTAAAGTGCCAAGATGTCAGTTTGAGGAGTACGATGCACCTAGCCCAAGCCTTGGTATTTTCAATAACCTGATATGCATATGACAGTTGGACAGTGAATAAGGAAGACAATAGAAAAGTTGATGCATTTGTGCTGTAGTGTTAGAGAGAGTATTAAAAGCACCATGGATTTCTAAAAGAACAAAAAGATCTATGTTGGAATAAGAACAACCAGATTGCTCCTTGGAAGCCAGGATGGCCAGTCTTTGTCTCTCATACATCAGACATATTATCAGGAGAGACCAGTCCCTGGAGAAGGATACCATGTTTGGTAAAGTGGAAGGTCAGCAAAAAAAAGAGGAAGACCACCAACGAGCTGGATTGGCACAGCAGCAGCAGGAATGGGCTCGAACACAGCACTGATTGTGAGCTTGGTGCAGGACCGGGCAGTGTTTTACTCTGTTGAGCAAAGAGTCGCTGTGAGTCGGTACTAACTCGATAGCACCTAACAATAACAACAACAACTTCTTGCATCATAGCAACATGCAAGCCACTACAGTACAACTAACTTACAGACTAGATACGTGCACAAATAGGTAATTGGCAGATACCTGAAACTAAAGGTTAGACTTGGGACCAGAAAAGTCCTCAAAACTAGATCTAGCTCTCTGCAAAGAGATACAAATAAAGGAGATGAATTTGGGGGAAGCGATGATAAAACAACACATTCACATCTGTGAGCAGAAGAAGAAAAATCCACCTTAGCATGTCATGCTAGTTTTGAAGTAAGTCTGCAAAGAAAGAACAGAAGTAGGACGTTAATGCATTTTCAGACACTTAAAAAGGTCAAACACTGAGATATTGGGGAACTGTGGGGAGCCCTGGTGTGGCGCTGTGGACTAATGCATCAGACTGCAAAGTCATCGGTGATTCAAGCTCACCAGCTGCTCCTTGGAAACCCGATACAGGGTCGCTATACTCAACGGCAGGCACTTCACAACAACAAGTGTAAGCCCAGAATTAAGAGGAAGCAGAAAAACCAAAATTAGATCAAATAAGGCTCAGAATTCTTACCTATATAGGATATATGATGAGAGTCTAACTAAAGGAAAGGAGGGATAAATTAAATGACTTATTCTAATGTTTTTTTTAGAATTCTAGTATTTAAAAAATAGGAAATTTCTTTAGGATAGTATTAATATTGATACAATTATCATTATTGTATCAAAATCAAAACCAAACATACTGCAAATACGTTGACTCTGATTTATGGTGACCCTATACAGGGTCTCCTCATATTTCTTTGGGAGCAGCAGGTGAGTTTGAACAGATGACCTTGTGGATGGTAGTCCAGCATGTAACCTACAGTGCCACGTTAGAGCTGCCACTTAGTGAGCATAATAAATATAGAATTAGATACAGGTGGTGCTCAGCCCTTTTATATTTATGTCAGCTTGTCACACAGCTAGGTGACCATTACCCCCCGTCTGCAGTAGAGGAAACAATGGCTAAGACAGAGTCCAGGCATCTTGCCCAAGTCCATACTGGAATAAGTCACAAGACAGACTGGATTCAAATCAATTCTGTTAAATAAAGGACGACCTCTTAGCCACTGAAAAATATATTTATATGTTTTTAGGTAGGTCACCTTGCAAAAACTTTAGCAGCCAGCCAGTTCGTTTTTGGTTGGTTGTTTTTTGTTTCCTAAGATGACTTCATATGATAAGCACTGGACTGGGAACTCCAACTACAAGTTGGAGCCTGCCAACCTCTCACCTGGAGAAAGAGGAGGCTTTTTGCTCCCATGAAGATACACAACCTGGGAAACCCTATACAGGGTCTCTGTGAATCATAACCGACTCCACGACACTTAACAATAACAAGATGGCAAAAAAAAAAAAAAAAGCTACTTTAATTATTACTAGGAGTCCTGGTGTGGTGCTGTAGGATAAACACTGGGCTGCTAACCAAGAGTTGGTGGCTCAAACCCACCAGTTGCTCCTTGGAAACCCTAAACAGGGTTGCTATGAGTCGGAACCTATTTGCTGGCATTTAACAATAACATTTATGTTACTGTGGCTGGAATTTCCCTGCTTTTTAAAATGTGAATTCACTAGTTATACAAATATCAGCGTAGAGTCCACACTTGATTGCCTCACATTGCTGTTACCATATTGCGAATGTTTCTAACTGGTGAAAATTTCACTCACTTCGTGCATTTTGTTTTTCATGAAGAGATAACTAAAACTATTGACAGAGAGGTATAGACTTCACACATTCAGGTTTTCCTGTATACTGCTGCTGATCAATGCGCTGTACTGCAAGGTCAGTTTGAACCTTAAGGTCAGCGGTTCAAGCTCACCAGCCGCTCCTCAGAAACCCCATACAGGGTCGCTATGAGTTGGAACTGACTCAACGGCACTTAACAACAACAATTCTTTTGTTGTAATCCAAAACTTACTGTGTTAAAAAAGAAATGTAACAAGGCAGAACAAACACCCTATTGACTATTTGGGGGAATTTGAACAATTTAAAATAGAAACAACAAAATTAGATTTACTGGAAATTGATGCGACAACAATTGAAAATA